ATGAATCCACAGAGCACTTGCTGGTGGCCTGCAGAGAGCTGGCTGGTCACATGGTGCTGGATCCTTCTCCTAGTTTCCAGCCACTTCTACAGGTCTCCAGGCTCTCCAAAGACTAGGAGGAGGAGCCAGTCTAGCTGCCTTTGATAAAGTCCACTGCTCTGTAAAAGGAGGAGGAAGAGAAGCCACCCCTAAGTCAGGAACCTGAGCCACCAGTGGTTCTGAAGCTGCCAGACAACTCCAGAAGAGGAACATGTAGGGAAGAGGGGGACACAAGGTAGCCAGATACTATACCCATGGGACCGGGGAGATGGGCCAGTTGGTGAAGGAGCAGCATCTCCAGTGGAGAGGGGGAGGAAGAGGAACAGATCAGATGAGAAGGGGAGAAGAAAAGCAGAGTGTGGGATTTGCCTTTTTTTTTTTAACTATGTAACATTTATCACAGAGCCCCTTAAATCACATAAATCCTTCCCCAATGGCACTTTGCCATGTCCGCAATTGCCACAAGGCTACAATGTGACAGCAAATGGGAGGTGAGGTGTCCACCAGATAATCTTGCTAATAATTCCACACCACTAAAAAGTCTCCAACCCTCTTGTATAGAGGGTTCGTTAAGGGAGCAGAGCCTTTCATTGCTAGATCCCTAGTTCAAATACTGCTTGGTAGGGACTGCAAGCTCTTGTTATTTTATTTATTTGAATTGCAGTAGCACCTAGGAGCCCCAGTCAAGGACCAGGACCCCATTGTTCTGCGTGCTGTATAAATACAGAACAAAAAGGTGGTCCTGCCCCAATGAGCTGATAAATTTAAGCAGAGTTCAGTGGCTGATGTGGAAAGAATCGGTGGTTTCACTTGTGAGCTTTCCTCGGTGTTTACCCCTTTTAAAAATGGTGTGGCTTTTTCATTGCCTGTGGCAACGGTTTCTAAAATCCCGGCATGCATAAAATCTGGAGGTCTTTGTCAGCCCATTGGTAACAATAGCAAAAAAAGAACTAAAGACAGTTCAGATGAAAGAGTATAAATAAGTCCCAGAGCCATCAGCCCCTTTCTGGAAAAGGAGGGGATTAAACTGTGCTGAGAAATTTATGCCTGCACCTGCACTCACTCCAAAAAGAAGACATTGGTGAGCTGGAGCTGATTTGTTTGCACTGATGTAAGTAGCTTCATTTCAGTCTGTGGAGTCTCACCAGCATAAAACTGATGTAAACAAGAGGAGACTCATTCCTTGAATTGGGTTCGAGAACCTGCTATGCTATTTGGAATGTCCTGTGTTCTTAGAGCCTTTCCCAGTGAAACCAGAACATGCTGTATAACCATAACTAGAAAGTCCTGGGAAATGGGCGGTCCCTGCCAAAGTTTACTGATGCTAAGCAAAATAGATTAGAGTCCAGTCAAGCCACTGGATCAGAAAAGGTCTAGATTTTGGGGAAGCTTAGCACCAGAGCCAAACTTGTCAGATTGTCTGGACAGGCGAGTCGTATCATATGCACATTTAACTTATGCAAATTCAACTATACGCTCTCGGCAAAAAAAAGAAAAACAACAAGATACCTGTAAATAGTGGGGGCGATTCCACCCAATGAGCATATACCCCAGAGTGATCGTGAGATGGGAGACATGAATCTTCTGTTCCCTCAGCCGGTCTCAGTTCCCATGTGCCTCTCATAGTGTGAGCATCTCGCCGCGCTGAGTGTGATTCTAGTGTTTAAATATGCGTATTTTTCGTACAACATGGCCCCTAAACGCAAGACAACTACTTCATCTGGTGCTCAACCAAAGAAATGGCGATCTGTTCCAACGCTGGAGGGAAAACTGGCTGTGTTGGACTTATTGAGAGACAGTATGTTGGTCTCCAACGTGGCACGTAAATATGGCCGCAACGAATCTAGCATCCGTGCCATCAAGTTTCGAGAGAGAGAAATTCATCAAGCCGTGGCATCAAGTGCTTCAATAACTGCTAAGGTGACGAGCCAGGTGCGTGATAAGACTTTAGTGAAGACCGAAAAGGCATTAAACTTATGGCTGGAAGACATGAACTGTAAACGTGTGCCTATCGATGGCAACACGTTGCGAGAAAAGGCTCTTAACCTCTACGCGCTGTTCAAACCTCCTGCCAAAGAGGGACAGCCTTCTGATGAGAAGGAATTCAAAGCCAGCCAAGGTTGGCTTAACAGTTTTAGGAACCGCTTCAACCTCAAAAACGTGCAGACTACTGGTGAAGAGGCAGCAAAAGCCTATCCCAAACAATTAAAGAAAATCATAGAAGAAAAGGGCTATCTTCCGGAACAAGTTTTTAATACTGATGAGACTGGGCTTTTCTGGAAAAAATGCCCAACCGCACTTACATTTCGAAATCAGAAAGACAAGCCCCTGGCTTCAAAGCAGCTAAAGACCGTGTGACTGTGTTGTTTTGTGGCAATGCAGCTGGGCATTTAATAAAGCCGAGCTTGCTCTACAGGGCTGCAAATCCCTGTGCCCTAAAAGGCAAGAACAAATATCTCCTCCCTGTGTTCTGGCAATCAAATAAAAAGGCTCGGGTGACAGCAGCATTATTTCTGGATTGGTTCCACAAGTGTTTCATTCCGGAGGTCAAGCGGTACCTCGAAGAGAAAGGACTTGACTTTAAAGTGTTGCTGATTGTAGACAATGCTCCTGGCCACCCTGCGGCACTCCAGTTTGCACATAATGACGTTGAAGTCGTCTTTCTCCCCCCCAATACCACCTCCATCCTCCAACCTTTCAACCAAGGTGCGATTCGCTGTTTCAAGGCCACGTACCCGAGGCTTACATTCTCACGGATACATAGAACCATGGATGCTGATCCCAATCTTAATGTGATGGAGTGTTGGAAGTCCTTCAACATTGCTGATTGCATCACTTATATTAAACAGGCAATGGATGCAATCAAGCCTGAAACAGTCAATGCATATGGGCGAAACCTATGGAAAGAATGTGTGAATGATTTTAATGTGTCAATGATTCATTGACAAAGAAGTGAAACGCATTGTTCAGGTGGCCAGGCAAGTGGGTAGTGATGGCTTCGTCGACATCCTTGAGGAAGAAATTGAAGAATTAATTGAGAGCCATAGAGAAACATTGACTAACGAAGAGTTAGAGGAACTGCTAAAATCGTCTACAGAAGACAAAGATGATGATGACGAACAGGAAGAGCCAGCAAGTTGGAATCTTCATAAATTTGCTGAAGTGTTCCAAGCGGCGAAACACTTGAATGATTTAATTTCTGAATACGATCCCTCTATGGAACGAAGTCTCAAAATCACAAGTAGTATTACGGACGATTTGAGACCATATCAAGAAATGTTTGAGCAGCTCAAGAGACAACAGCGACAGTTGCCGA